CATATATGGATTTTAGACATAGATCTGGGGAGTGCCAGCCTACAATCCTATGGCCAGAGAGTCAGGGAAACAGAAACTTTATTTAGTGGCTGATCGAAGAAGAGGCAGACTCCCTTGGTTAAGTACTGAGCTGAACTCAAGAAAGCCAGTAACAGAGAGGGAGGACTGATGATCAAAGGGATTAAGACTGGGCTGGTTGAACCCCCAGAAGCAGCTGACCAGACAAAGGTTAACTCTTGAATCCCAGGCATCAGCCTGGGAAGCCAGCACAGGACTGATCAAGACCCCCTGAATCTGGGTGTCAGTGAGGAGGCCTAGGGAATCTAGTGAGCCTTGGGCAGCAGATCAGTACCCATCCCAAGTATACACACGGACTTTGGACTCCCATAGAACAATGTGAGGTGCACTCTCACCCCGAACTCTTGGGGAAGGGTCTAGGCCCTGCCCTATATGAAATGACAGACTATGCACACCCCCATGGAGGGCCTCACCCTCCCTGGGGAAATGAGGGGATAACGGGGGGGGGAGGGCTCGGGATGAAGCGAGGGAATGGGAGAGGGACCTGGAACTGACTTGTGAAGCAACCTTGTTCTTATCTAAATTTAAACTGGAAAATAAAATTAGGAAAAAAAAAAGAATGAGTAATCAATGGTCATAAATACCCCTCAATATTAAAGGTCTTAACTTGCAAAAAAAAAAAAAAGAAATAACAAGGCTTAAGTTGGAGATGGGAGAAAGAAACATGACTACAAATCCCATAAATCCATGAAGGAATGGATTAGCAAATATTGAAAGGCCATACCTGACATACTTACATAAACAGCCTGGAAACTCAGCATAATATTTAGGACTATTGACCTCAAAAGGATCCATTTCTTAGGCATTGTCAAATGAGAACTAACCTAAGCAAGTGGATTGGATCACTTTGCTTGGATGTTGCAGTAGAGGCTTCTGAATTCAGTATGTCCTTTGTCCTTTATTCTTAGTTCACCAATAACATCATTTGGTTTTATTTCTGTAATTACTACCTTTTTGCTGACACATTTTCGTGTTCATAAAATAAAATTCATCAAATTTTATTGTGAACTGTGACTCTACATTGAAATATCATCTCTCTTTCCCTCTGCTATCTCAATTATAATTCCTAAGTAGATTGTCTCAAAATCCCTCTAATATTTCTGTATCTTATTTGATCCTTCAACAGATCACTAGAAACTTCATTATCCTTTAGTAATTGTGGCCAAATATTATGTTTTGTGCGATCTCTCTTTCAATTTAAATACAGATCCATTACTTTTTAGAAACTTCACTTCCAGAACAAATACACAGTAGGAACATGTTTTACTACTTTTCCTTATTATCACTCTGATAGATGTTAGTTTCCTCAATTTTCTTATTGTTAGCTTCTGAAATTGTCTTTTGTGTCCTTTAACCTCCTTTTTGTCTCTTCTTAGTTTGAAACCAAAAAGGCCCTTTATAAGTCTCAATTGGTTTAGATACACGGCAGCTAAAACTCTCTGCTCTCACCTTTCATGCAGTTCCCATCTGTAATGCTCTGATAACCTTCCCTTTCCCCTCCATTTCTCCATGTTCCCTGATCATCCAGCCATCTTCGTTTAGAAATCTGCTAATATTTCTAAAGTGACTCTTTTTCTGTGAATACTGTTCCCTGAGATGTAAACTTAAATATTGTTGTAGCTCTGAAATGTGTTTTCATTATGTCTGTATCAGAATTATGCTAGACTCTTCCAAGTACTACAGGAAATCCTCCAAAATTGATAACTTAAAACATGAATATCATGAGTATATTTTCCAATAGCTTTAAATGGCCCTAAATTCTAGATAGTTCTCACTGGGTTAGAAAAAGAATTGAGCAGATCTTCAGCCTTTTTCTTCTTGTTTATTTATTTTATTTAAATAACTTTTTTTCATTTATTTTACATACTTTCACTCCCTCTTTTCCTCCCAGTCCAGCCCCTTTGCTTCCCATCTACGCCCCTCCCCAATCTTGTATTTAAGAGATTAATATTATATCTAACTTTACCTTAGGTTTCTTTACCCTCTTATTTCTCATTTATTCATTTACTTCTCAAGGAATACATGTAAATCTGATAAAATTTAAATGATAATTTTTTATTCAAAATATCTTTTCATACTGATGTTATCAAAAATTGTTTATTCTCTCAATCTTCCTAAATATTGTTTTTTGTACTAAATTACTTCCTTGCCAATGAATAAATACTAACATTTCTATGATAAGTTTTGAAAATTAATTTTATGAAATGATTATTGTATCTTCTTTTCTCAGAAAAGCTGGTATGTACATACCAAGATATTGCTAATATTTGATGTGCCTGGGACTGTATGAATTAGTTATTCTATCAATATTTTGCTATTTTACTTGTTAAAAATTTATAACATAATTTAAAGCTACATTTAGTAATTGCCAGAACACAACTACAGTGCTCTTATATGCCACATTGCTTCACCAATATTTTTTATAAAAACAGTATTGTTTGATAATGATGGATTGCTAACATTGGATGTCTGCCCTTATTTTCTTCTTCACTGAAATGTAAAGACAAGCTCTTCCCCTGCTCAAATGTTATACAGCATACTATATTACATTTTTAACTCAGTGACCCACCTTTGTAATACAGCTTGAAGTCCTAAGTCAAAGCAACTTTCAAAATTAATGAGTCTGCCACCATGTCCTTAACCTTTTAAAATTATTCGTCTCTAAGGAGTCACACATTAGCCTAGAGAGCCACTGTGCACTGGAGTGAAAGCTATAAATTTTTAGGTCATGATCCTAATGTGGTCTAGGGTGCATAAATAGTTTTCTGGAGTGAATTCATGTGTGTCACATTAGCTTTGTGAATACCATATGTTTCTATTTAACAACAAGAAAAAGACACTCTCTGGAGGTAGTATAGGTAAGTTGTTCATGCTGCTTTCCTTGCATGATTACCTTTCTTCTATTTTGTCTGCTGACGTGGAACTGATTAGCATTGTTTGTTATGCAATAAGTCACAAAAGAATTTTGTCTACTTCCAGTAGCCCACAAAAATGACAACAAAATGTCCTTCACAAAATGTTGTAAGTCTGAGCACCTATTCCTCATCCTGCATGCTGTAAGAGCCTGTTATCACTATTTTAATAGATATGTTGATTAATGTAGTAAGGAAAAATTAGAGAAGGCACTAAAATGTTTCAGTGCCATATTGAAAAGTGAGACAGAATTATTCTCCTGAATTAATTTTACCAAGAATGGGCCCAATTTTGAATTCACCACTTCTTAACCTATATCTTCACCTAGTCTGTAGTTTGTGGTTAATGCTCTGTCTGTGGCCTATCATGTATGTCTAGTCTGTACAGGTTGCCTGGGTGTTGTTCTTTGTATAAGTCTTTTTCTGCAATAAAATGACTGTGTTCTGTATTTATTGAACAACATGTAAAATAGTGTCTGAGAAAGGAATGAAAGAATTCTTTATTGATGTGTAAATCTGTTAAGTAGAAATGAATAACTGAGAAAGGATAGGACAAGTAAGGGAAATCCTGAATGGCTCACTTCACTCTTTCAAGAACAGGTACCATCAAAATTATATAAATTATTAATGAATTAACTAAATCCTAATGTAATAGTTTCCATAATTGCTACATTGAAATAATGATTTCAATTTAGCTAAAAGATTAAAAGCTTGCTTATTAAAATAATCACATCCTAAACCAGTAACAAAAAGACAAACATGTTATGTACTCACTCGTATATGGATTTTAGACATAGAGCAAAGGATTAACAGCCTACAATCCACACTGCCAGAGAAGCTAGGAAGCAAGGAAGACCCTAAGAGAGACATATATAGTCCCCCAGAGAAGGGGAAAGTGACAAGAACTCCTGAGTTAATTGGGAGCATAGGGGGAAGGGAGAGAGAGTTAGCAGAAAGAGAAGGGAGAAGAGGAGGGGAGAGGAGGACGGGAGGGAGCAGGAGCAGGGAGATCGAGTCAGGGGAAGAATAGAGGAGAGGAAGAAAAGAGATAATGCTCTTGTGAGGGAGAGATAATTTAAAAAAATACATCTTTCTTTTCACAAAAATACTTGTCTTCTCCCAGGTGTAAATCTTATTTATTTGTTTTGTCATAAGTTAAATTAAAGTAGATCTTAATTGTGAGTTACTTGCAGTTTAAACTACACAATTTAAAATAATTAATTTAGATTAGATGACAGAAAACAGCTATTTTATCTTTACATGTTAATGAGATTTATTTATTTAAATTCTGAAATCATCTTTCTAATAACAGCTATTTTCTACTGAGTTATTATTTGTAAATGAACATTTTATAGCTTGTCATTTTAAGAAAGGAAAAATGTGACCATTTGTCAATATTACTTATTGATTAACTATTTCACCACTAAGTAGACTTTGTCATAATATTTTTCAAGACCCTTAAGGGAATAAAATAGCAACAAAACATATAATTTTTAATTGAAAACATTATGCTAATTGCACTTTTTATTCTACAAATTGTGTAATTTGTACCTTGGTGATATATTTGTGAGATTTTGAAAATTTGATGATGAATTTTTAACTTCAGTTTCTCCTACTCACTCTTTAAAGATGTCACCAATCAATTTCGGGTAATTTTCATAAGAATTTCATAATGAAAATATTATTCCCCAGGGAATGGAAAGCAGCATTTGTGTAGTGGAAATATCCTTTCTGAACTTCATATTACACAGTGTAATACACACTCAGAAGAAAGACAATGGTGATTACTAAAAATACCAAAACTGAAAAGTATACTATTTATCAGTTTTTCACACAATTACTGGATCTCATTTAATATCAAGTAGAGAAATCTATAAGAAAGAAAAATGCTGTTGTAAAATGAAATTCACAGTATCAAAAGAAAACTAACATCTTAATCTTTTGATATTATTCAGAAAATCTATCATCTGTCTATAAGTCACACTGATTTTACCTGTATCTATATTCCAGCTGCACTCCAACTCTGACAAAGGTGATGGGTCTGTCAAGTACATTCTTACCGGAGAAGGTGCTGGGACTATATTTATCATTGATGACACCACGGGTGACATCCACTCAACCAAAAGCCTGGATAGAGAGCAGAAGACTCACTATGTACTTCATGCCCAAGCTATTGACAGACGGACAAACAAGCCTCTTGAACCGGAATCTGAGTTCATCATCAAGGTGCAAGATATCAATGACAATGCTCCAAAGTTCACAGATGGACCGTACATCGTTACTGTGCCTGAAATGTCAGATATGGGTAAGTAAGTTATTTTTATAGTGTAGAAACTAATGCATATCACTGATAACACAAATATTATCTTTTGAAGAATTTTTAAAATGCATATGTGTACATTTTCAGAAATCTGAGAAACTTCTAACATCTTAGGATATTCTTACAGCATAAATGATATAGAATTCACTGAGGTAAATTTTGAACATGTATGTATAGATAAGGATTTGGACGTCTCAAGGTAAAATCATGAATTGAATAATGTATAGTTTCTTAATTGGAATTCTTTTCGATTATGCAATATTTTCTATCATATTATTGAATAGTATGAATGCCAATGCCTTTAGCAGTAACTGCTTTGAAGATAGAGTGTATGACATCTTCGACTTTGAGCTGTATGTTTTATAGATTTACATGTCCTTCTTGACTCTAATAACAGTATTGCAAGTTATTATATAATTAATTAATAAAACTATTCATATTCTAAGCAATTTCATATTTTTGCAAAATATAAAAACTATGTCACTTATTCTTAGATTATTTTACATGTGCAGGCAGGATAAAGAACCCATGCAAATCTCTTATTTTTAGGAAATAGGCAACCAGTTATTAATTTAATTTCAATGCATGGCTGTGCTGTAATTGAAATATCTTGATATATAGTTCTCATTGTTTTTGAGTTTGCAGGACATTTTCTCTACTCACTGATTTTTGTGGCTGGCCTATGTCTCTGTATGTTGATTCCATAAATAAATTTTCTGAGGTTAATTAAAATGAAGTTAAGGAGTCACATTATTTTTTCCATATTTGTAGGGTTGCACTTGCTTTCAGAACACATTTCTGAGTGATATTTTTTGCATTTCACTTAAATGTATATGTCAATCTTATTCTGAATAATGATATTATAGTCACTGGTAAGATCAGTCTATGAAGGTTCACATAAAGCTTCCTTACTGGAAGGAGTGAACTTCTGTTCCCTTTCAGGTTTGCAGCCCTTTTTAGTTCTCCTGAGAGCCAGGTAGCACTTCAGCTGATGGAGAAAGGGTAGAAATCAAGAGCAAGATGTTCTCAACCACAGCCTCTGGGGAGAAAACAATTTCCCAACCTTTTTCCCTTGGCAGCAGAATTCAGGGACTAGCTTTAGCAGCTCTTGGCAGATGCTCAGAATATATTCGAGCTTATTGGTCTCTAAGGGCATTTAAGGTAAAAATGGAGAACTAGGCACTGTTAGTCATGTTGAATAACAGTTTGTGGGCAAAACTTGTGAAAATACCCCCCACCCCATGCTCTGTTAAGGACAAGTAAGCCTTAGGCAATACCTTATTGCCAAAGACCCATCTAATTTATAAATGCAACACATATTTTTTTTTGTTTTATGAGACAGGGTTTCTCTGTATTGTTTTGGAGGCTGTCGATCCAGCCCTGACTTGAACTCACAGAGATCCGCCTGCCTCTGCCTCCCGAGTGCTGGGATTAAAGGAATGCAACACATTTAATACATCATCATTTATCAGAAACATGCTGGTAGGCTTCCATTGTGTGATACAGGCCAAGAGCAAACAAGAAACCACCAGATCATAAGGAAATAACAGTAGAAACAATAAAATAGGCACAGTCACCATTGGCCAAAGGCAGTTTTCACTTCACAGTTAGGAGAGAACTGGAGGATTTTAACGAATACAGCAAAGAGTTTGGGGGAGTAGGAGTATGATGTTTTATATTAAAAACTAAATAATAACAAAATCTACCTGTGTCCTGAAATAATGAATGTTCACTAATTAGGCTTGATTGCCATCTTTGTCTAAGAGAATATAAAAAGAGCCATAAGAGAACATAAAAAGATCTTAAAAATTAAGGAGACTTTAGACGACATATTATTTGGAAGTATCAGGGAAACAAGGTGTGTCCCCAAGAAAAACAAAGAAAAGATGCATTGAGGAAGAGAGAAATCGTATATTCCCATTTCATATGAGGTGTTCCTTGATTCACAAGCTTCATGGAGGTTCTAATTTCGGGGTAAACATGGGTAGATTGGGTTTAGGCAAATATTGGCAATGTTACAAAAGCCTGGATATAAAAAGAAAGCTTTAATGGCTGATTGGGAAAATGCGGAATTGAAAATGATTGAAAGAGAACAGATCTGAATCAACTGAGTGGCAAAAATAACAGTGGCAAGTCTATGTGCACATACATGAGCGAAATCTTACATGCACATTGGTGCTTTTGAGTACATGAAAGTATCCTTGACAATTCAAATAAAAGTCAAAGGACAGGTGGAATTATCATAGTAAAGACTGTGAGTTCAAATTTGAGATATAAAAATACTTCCAATGGATGGTACTAGAAGAAACCATCCTGAGTGAGGTATCCCAGACACAAAAAGGGAAACATGGTATGCACTCACTCATTTATGGATTTTAGACATGAAGCAGGGGAGTTCCAGCATACAATCCCACTGCTAGAGAGTCTGGGAAATAGAATCTTCATTCAGCGACTGATGAAAGCAGAGACAGATACCCACAGATTAACACTGATCTGAAATCCCGGAATCCAGTGTCAGAAAAAAAGAACTGATGGGCAAAGGAGTTAAGACCGGGCTGGTTTAACCCACAGAAACAGTTGACCTGTAAAAGGGGAGCTTTTGGACCCCAGATTGATGGCTGTGTGGAAAGCATGGGACTGACCCAAAGCCCCTGAATGTGGGTGACAGTGAGGAGGCCTAGGTAATCTATGGGGTCTTGGGTAGTATTTATCCCTGGCATACAAATAGACTTTGTCCATCCCACAATGAGAGATGCTGTCTCAGCCTGGACTCATATGGGAGGGCCTAGGCCCTGCCCTGGATGAAATAACAGACTCTGGAGATCCACCATGGAGGCCCTCACCCTCCCTGGGGATGGGAGTGGAGACTGGGTGGGGCACTGGTAGATCTGGGGGAGAGGACAAGGTAGGAGGGGAGGGAAAGGGAGCTGGGATTGACATGTGAAATAAGCTTGTTTCTAACTTATATAAAAAATAAAATAATAATTATAAAAAAATAAAAAAGAACCCAACAACAGGAAATCTTTTATACAAAGCTAATTCGTTCAATAGTGGCCTTTCCAGTCTCCTGTCTCTCCTAGGACATAAACAAATACATTTCCTAAAATTTGAAGTATTGGGAGAATAAGGAATAGCTAACAATCTTGTGTTCTCAGAATGACAAAAATGTGGCTATAGGATAAAATTTTTTAAAAGTAGTGAAATAATTAAGTCACTTAAGTGTTATTTCCATACTAGTGTAGATACAGGCAAAAATATTTTTTATGATAGTAATTTATTTAAGGACAGATACCAAATTTTGGATATTATACTTTATTATTTGTTTTGAGTGGATAGGAGCTTATTATTATGACTGTGTGTGTGTGTGTGTGTGTGTGTGTGTGTGTGTGCGTGTGTAACTGCCTTTATATCTTGAGCCTAAGAATGGAAGACGATGCCTCAAATACAATATGAATGCAGAAATAAAATTTCAATGTATGAAGACAAGGAAGCATCAAGCAATGACAAGAGAGACAGCTTCCCTGTTGCTGACTATGCAGATAATGATTTCTTGAAGTGCAAACACTCACATGAAAAAAATGTCTTATATTAGTTTGAATATGAAAGAGGAAGTGTTGCACAGTTGGGAGAGAGGCTGTGTGGCTCTAAAAGCCTAAAATTTAATTGTTTTTATAAAAGAAAGTTTTTGAATTGCTTTGTGAGAGATTACAGGGAATATGATCAGATGCAGAACAGCTAGAGGACTGTGCTGTAGTCCCAAGTCTCTGCTGATGGATCCAGAATGTTTTCTGCAAGCTCTGTCTCAGTACTTGACACTTCACAGAAAGGCAGTGATATACACAAATGGCACCCTTCCTTCCTGACACATGCTGCCAGCTGTCTACCTAACCAGTGGACAGCTTTCTTTCAGTGTTACTAAAGTACCATTCAAATGTTAACTTGAGTTCAGGTCTCACTTGCCAGGTACTTGCCACTTATGCCATGGTTGCTGGTCAGCAAGTCCCAGAGATCTGTGTGCGTCTACTTTTCCAATATTGAGACACCAAGCACATTCCACTGTAATATTTTCAGGTTGCTGCTATAGAAAGAACTCATGTTTCCAAACTTTCACAGCAAGCACTTTTACTGACTGTATTTCCTATTTTATTGGGGTTACATTAGCAAAGAAATGATCTAACACTGAATCCAAAGGAATGAAGAAAATGATGCTCAATTCTGATTAGATGCAGTGATGTAGCTGTGTTTTAAGGAAGTTGATTTATGGTTGAAGCTCTCATGTCTTCCTTTTTCTTCCACTGACCCACAGAGTAATTATCATGTCATACATCTTTCTGTGATAGAAAATTTCTTTTCTGCATGAGTGCAGCTAGCAGTGTATTTTAAATATTCAAATCATGTTTCTGATCAGAACTATTTGTACCCACAGAAGTACTAATTAATCGATTAATGAGGTTTGCTCTCTTGAATGAGAGCTTTCTGTACTGAAAAATATCTAGGTTATTTTTTCATCACAAATTGTACAAAATTTTGCCAGAGTCTGTGACTATAGGTCACCATAGCAACTGTGAAAATGATCCAACAGAAAACTACTACAAGGAACACTTGTTAAACACTTGCTAAGTGTCAGGAATCTCATACATTTACAATAATTCCATGTATTTGTCAAAATTGTCATCACAGTGTCAACATGATGATTATTCTTGGATAAAAATGAAACCTGGAATTGCATTATTTGTCTAAAATACCATGACTATTAAGAAATATATGAAAAACTTTCTAAGCTAGGTATATTTTATACCTTATAATTCATTTGGAAAAAACAGTTAAAAGAAAAAAATGGGTAAAGTTTATATGTAGAACAATTCTTTTAGAAAATTCAAGAAGCACAATAGTAATATAAGACAGGATATGGTGTAGCATTAAGTTTAAAGAAATAATGTTAACTTTTGACTCATTATACAGATTTTATTTACCACTACTACATT